GTGTAAGGGATATGGATGAACATGCAATTGCATGGGATATGACGAAAAAATATCGATTCAAGGACCTTTCTGAGGTAGTCTAGTATTCGGTCGAATTTGAGTGATGCAGCGCGTTTCCAGTCATGGCAAATACACATTCCCTCAATCAGATATAACCCTCGATTGCCATGATCATCTACGTCTATGGAACTCTCATCTCATTGGGTCCAGAACGATGTTATCGATCAAGCGCACAGGTATCTGTCGACCTTCAGAGTCCAGTTGGCCCAAATCCTCACCGTCTTGCGGTTCCTCGACTGGCAACATCTTGACTGCGCCACTGAGTATGGCGCCTTTCGAATCATCAATCTGGTCAATCTCTTCCATAGTATCAGGATCTGCAAGGCTGATATAGTCGACCTCGAACTTGGCGCGTTTGCCAGGCTCCATCTGTTCTTGCTCGATCAATGTCATGTTACCGTGGTCGAAAGCAGGCCAGAGGACGTCGTTCCGTAACCTCATGCCATTGTTGTATTGTAGTTCTGCTTTGCGAAGCGCTTGGTTGAGGACGATGCCAACATTACGACGACGCGCGCCGAGGTAGACATTGCGAGAAGAAAGCGCAAGACCGTCTGACTCCCTTGAGGTGGAGATGATGCGCAAAGTCGTGTCCAAATGAAAGTCCTGAATCAGGCGCTTGATAACGCGGGTTTGCTGCACATCTTTCTGCCCAAAGTAGACGCGATCTGGCGCGCAGATGTTGAAAAGCTTCATACAGACTGTTGCTACGCCGCGGAAGAAGACGGGTCTCGACGCGCCTTCGAGAAGCTGACCAAGCGGGCGCATCTCGATGAAGCTACCCACGCCTGGTATACTGCTATCCGGTGGCAGTGTGGGGTACATGGTCTTTGTGGTTGGTGCGAAGACAGCCGTCACGCGGCCTTGGTTTGCGCTCGCCAGCTCCTGGTTCAGCTCTTCCAAGACTTGCATGTCTGCCTCCCATGTCTTTGGGTACGAAGCAAGATCCTCATTCAGCCCAAACTGTGTAGGATTCACGTAGATTGTAACGAAGACGTCGGTGTTCTCGGCGGCTGCGTGTCGCATGAGCGAGACATGGCCCTCGTGCAGGGCGCCCATCGTTGGAACAAGGCCGACTGTGCGGCTGTTGGAGCGTAGGTCTCGGCGGAAGTCACGTAAGGGCGCGACATCGCGGAAGATAAGCGTTGCGGATGCGGAGGACGAGGTATTGCGCAGTGACGGACTGGTGGACAGGCACCTGAAGCAGTTACCTGTAGGAGCTTGCAGTGGACGCGCAAAGCTCCTGACCAAGCATCTTGGTGCTATCGTAACTGCATGAGATTAGTCATTTGGATCAATGGCGTATGTTGGGGAGCATACTCACCGGCTGCGAAACGGAGTGATGCCATTGCGGAGAGTTGCGGAAGTGTCGCGGACAAAGCTCTGCCTTAGCTATCGCGTCGCGCAAAAATGGGAAAGAAGCGAGGATGAATCTCTCGCAACTCGGGAGCGGACAGATCGCGAAGAGTCAGCGAGGAGGCAGCCATGGTGATCAAGTTGAGAAAGGTCAAGACGACTCGTTTCTGCGCTGAAGGTCCCATCATGGAGGGAGCGCCCATCTGAGCCTAGTGCCCCACTAAAAAGATCCCAGGCTCGAGATTTCCATCTCTTTCGCATCTGCACCCCGCCAGATCTGCCACCACACGCGACGATATACGACACCATGGCTGACGATGGCATGCTCCTCAACTTCTCCATACCGGACAGCGGCATATTGTCGAAACCCTCATTCAAAGGCGGCAACTGGAAGGAGCGCCTCACTGCGAAGAAGGCGGCGCAGAACTGGCACACCAAGGCTACTGCACGACTCAACGGCGAGAAGGTACCGAAACAGGTGGTCGACAATGCGACAAATGTGAACCGCATAGAACTAGGCCCGAGGAAGGCACGCGTGGAGAAGAGCCCCGAGTTTCCCGATTCCGGCGACAGACCAGTAAAGCGAGCGCGCGTGAGCGGAGACTTCAGACCAAGGACGACGGAGAAGACAGACGACGCCAACTTCAGACCCCAATCGAATCCGAACCCGAACCCCGCGAAACGACCAAGCGAGCAGAACAATGCGCCAAAGGGAGGAAAGCAGGTCATTTCCTCGCTTTTCACCTACAATCCTACATCGAAGACGAAGCCCGAAGCGAGCGAACGCCGCGAAGACGATGCGCCCGTAGAACCCTCGAATGCGCCACTCAGCAGCGAGCTGGATACCTTTACATCCCTTGGCATGTCCACGACCATTGCGGCGCACTTGTTGAAGAAAATGGACTTGAAGGCGCCGACTGCGATCCAGAAGGCCGCCGTAACACAACTCATTAAAGACGATTCGGACGCCTTCATACAGGCCGAGACTGGTTCGGGAAAAACCTTGGCATATCTGCTACCTATCGTACAGCGACTCATGGAGCTCTCTGCGAACATGAGGAAACGCAAAGTCGACGAAAGTGTGCAGAGAAACTCGGGTCTTTTTGCGATCATTCTGGCACCGACACGCGAGTTGAGCAAGCAAATCGAGCATGTGCTAGAGAAGCTTCTAGGCTGCGCGCATTGGCTTGTTGCTACAACAGTTATTGGTGGTGAGAAGAAGAAGTCTGAGAAGGCACGGTTACGCAAGGGCATCAACATACTCGTCGCGACACCTGGTCGATTGGTCGACCATCTGGAAAACACAGAAGCTTTGGATGTCAGCAATGTCAGGTGGCTCGTTCTGGATGAAGGTGATCGGCTCATGGAGCTTGGTTTTGAGCAGGAGATCCAAAAGATCGTAGGAGCATTGAATCTGCGAATGCGCGCGAGGAAAGACGAGAAGTCAAGAATACCAGGCCTGCCAGAAAAACGCACAACAGTACTCTGTTCCGCAACCATGAAAATGGACGTGGAGAGGCTTGGGCAGATAAGTCTGAAAGATGCAGTGCACATTCGAGCCGATCCGTCAGAAAAGGGACCGGAAACAAGCGAGCCAGGAGGTGGCCATTCATTCTCTGCTCCAGCGCAATTGAAGCAGTCTTACGCCGTGGTCGCACCGAAGCTCAGATTGGTATCATTGATAGCCTATCTGAAACGAGCTTTCGCGCGGAGGGGATCCGTGATGAAGGCTATCGTCTTTATCTCGTGTGCCGACTCTGTCGACTTTCACTTTGACATGCTCACCAGCGAAATCGAAGGGATCACCGAGATAAAGAAGAAGGAAGACGCACAAGAAGAGGAGGAGGGCGACAAGGTTGAGGAAGCTGTTGATGACGCAGAAAAGAAGCCAAAGAAGACAAAAGCGATAACACAGGCAGACCCCACCAAGCTCACAGTAACAGGTGCGGAGTCACCCGTACTTTCTGCGAAAACGCACACAGTCACAGCATACCGTCTCCACGGTTCATTACAACAGGCCGTGAGAACTTCGACACTCGCTCAATTTACGAAGAATAAGAACCCCTCGGTTCTCATCGCTACAGATGTCGCATCCCGTGGTCTCGATCTTCCAAACGTCGATCTGGTTATCGAATTTGATCCTGCCTTCGCCCGAGAGGACCATTTGCATCGAATCGGTCGTACCGCGCGTGCAGGTCGCGACGGACGAGCATGCATCTTCCTAATGCCCGGAACTGAAGAAGGCTACGTCGAGATCCTAAAATCAGACCGAAAAGACCTAGAGGCTGGAGTACATGTTGTGCGTCAAGATGCCGATGACATCCTCAACCGAGGATTGGTAACCAGCGGAGTAATGGAAAAGAACGCCTACATGGACAAAGCAACCGACCTCCAGCTTGCCATCGAGCGCTGGGCTCTAGCGTCCCCTGCTCGTCTAGAAGCTGCTCGACGAGCCTTCCAAAGCCACATCCGCGCCTACGCAACCCACGTTGCAGATGAACGTCAATACTTTGATATCAAATCGATGCACTTGGGTCATTTGGCTAAAGCATTTGCTCTCCGCGAACGACCATCTGGAATGAAGATTCCTGGACAACGAACAGGTGCTGGACGAAACGACAAGACACCTGCTAGGGTGCGCGGTGGACCGAAGGTGGACCTGGCCAGTCGCAAGGCTGATACGGGTACATCGAAGAGGGCAGTCGTGGATCTGGATCTTCCAGAGGGTGCCGACACTGATGAGGCAGCGAAGATGAGAAAGGCGGTTCGTGCGAAGGAGAAGTTTATGCGTCATGCGGGTATGGCGAGCGAGTTCAACTTGGGTTGAGTATACTGAAATCGACAATGTGCCAGTCTTGTGGTACAATCCTTCATGGAAGCATTCCATCTTCTCTGTTATAGCGTGTTGAACTCACACTGAATGAGGTCGCAGGCAAGCCTAGCCTGGGTGCGCTTACGACCAACAAGTCTGGACTGCGACTTGATAAGATTATGCCATTTACGGGTTTCGATATCTGCTGGATGATGGCCCAGCCTCTATGTGAGAACATCATGCACCTGCCCACGATATCTGGAGCACCTTGAGTCTAGGCTTGATTAGTACTACCGAGGCTCTTCGAGCGTCCCGAGGTCATCATGTGACATCATCGGCCAGCCCAGCTCAATGCCCCCAATCTACCGCACGCGACGCGCCGCCATCGTCGAAGCATAGATTACAATGTGAGATGAGAAGGTTGTTTTCGCAGCGAAGTAATGTTAATCGGAATCCGACCGGGAAGTAGGTTCATCAATTCTGAGCGAGATGTGCTGTGTTCCGTTCCAACTCCAATCAAGTTATCCCTTGCAAGCCACGTACCTGTCTAGGCCTCCAGCCGTGTGCATCACTAGAGACCATGCGTGACATGGCGGCTGGTGATGCGCTGCGCCGCGCCAACTCGGGACCGCATTCACTCCGTCAGCTAAGAGAATGAGTTTCGGCATCAGCATTGGAGATGTGCTCAAGCTGTGTGAGCTAGCTGGTAGAGTCTACAAGAACTGTCTGCTTTCCCCGCCACCCCGTAGCTCTCATCGTGCTAACTTCAACACAGGTCGCGACTGCTCCGGCGAATACAAAGATCTTACATCGCAAGCACGAACGTTAACGAACCTACTCGAGGATATTCAAGACAAGTACGATAAGATACCCGAGAGCAAGCGGCAGCAGCTCATCGACGCGTACGAACCATGTATCGAAGTGCTCGAAGAGCTAGACAAGCTGGTGCTGCACTACAATGGGCTTGACACAAAAACCAAACGCGCTTGGGACCGGCTCAAGTACGACCCTGAGAAGTCACGAAACATACGAGAGCGCCTCATCGCGAGCGTATCGATGCTCAATTCCTTCTACACATCCCTGATACACGATAGCCAGGTTCTTATCCTAGAGGCCTTGGAAAGATTGGAGAAGGACTACAAAGGCGGTCATCGCGAAGAAAGCATTGCTTCCATCGGGAGACTCACGTCTGGAGGCACAGCCGACGATGACGACGATGATGAGGAGGCATGGAGCCAGATCCTCCGCGACCTCGAAGATGTGGGAGTATCACAGCAGCAGGCTCTAAGCTACCGAGATGTCATCGTAAACTGGCTTGTCACAGCTGTCAACGAAGGGAGGCTTTTGGAGGAGCGGCCAGAGCATGATGCTCTAGCAACTATGTCTTCGGACCTTGGGACCACTCTTCCCGAATTTGACTTCGATGAACGACCGCATAGTGTTGATGTGCCAGCGATCATCTCACCTGCGTACCGTGGCTCACACAGTCCTCTCGCAGCGCTGCCTCTGGCGTCTAGCGCGCCAATAACACAGAATCAGCAGATCTATTTGGCCCCTTCAGCAACTTCTCGAGCACATTCGACCACCTCCTTGCGACCGTCCCAACCTGCTGAATTGGAAGCATCATCGCTCTACGCGGAGCCACACTCAGCGTCCCAGCCTACTACTCCTATGGGCTCCAACAGCTATGCAATCAGACGTGTTCCAGTTCAACCCCCAAAAACTACGGTTCCTGTCACGCCCACGTACAGTATCCCAATCGTAGCGCCTACGTCCCCGACTGGTTCCTCTTTACCAGAGCCTTCTTTTACAGCTAACATGGGAATATCTGGCGCACCTCAGACGTGTGAGGAGAAAGAAACATTAGTTACGGTAGACCTTGAGTGGACGGCACAACAGATAGTTGCCGCGTGGACTCGGGGTGACTTTGTCACTGCAGAAAAGCTTCTTGAAGACCAGCTGGCAGCTGTCGAACGGGGACAAACATCTAGGTCTGGGACCCAGCCCGACCGACGTATTCTTAGGCATCTGCTTGGAGTTTGTGCCTCCTACACTGGGAAATACGCTAGAGCAAAGTATTTGTTCGAAAGTGTGTTCAACGGAATTTACCTGAACCGCCAAAACCTGGACGATGGTGATATCGCTGCAGCACGGTGGCTAGGGGACGTCTGTCTGCATATTCAACAGCATACGAACGCCGCCCTTGCGTATTGCGTTGCATATGAAGGGTCCATTGGTCGCTTGGGGGTGGCACGCGACCGTACCTCAAGGATAGCCGCAGAAATTAGGCTCGTCGATCACTGGCTGTGGGTGTTCAAGAGAATCGAGGCAACCCTTGAGCTAAACATGGATCCAACCAATATCTTTACATCTACGAATGTCGTTGAAAAGAGCAACCTGATGATGGCAGTCAGAAACAATGTTTACGAGATGCCCGGGATTGATGGTCGTGGTTCATTGCCACCAGCTGCGGGGATGCGTCCATCACTTAACTTGAGCCCTCGACCACAGTGTACTACAACGATCTCAGAAGGCTTCCTTCTAGGGCCTCTGATATCTACAAGCACATGGCCACTGCCTTGGGATAACCTCTTTTGTCCCGTGGACGCTGTTCAGCTGGACCGCTGCATGGGTGTAATACCTATTGCCAATTTCATTGGCCAACCCCTGTCTGAGCGCCAGCTACCATCGAACTCACTAGGCGACTCGAAGAAGCTGCATTTTCTTACTAAGAGAGGCAGTCGATGGCTGATAGATGCCGTGAAACAAGGCCTCCGCGAGATGGGAATCGATTATGGCGAGCATAAGTATGAGCCTTCGATTGTGTGTCGCATCAATCAGCAGCGTGAGGGCGTGGTTTTCTCCGAAGGGATCGAGATCGGCTTCAGCAAGCTCCCATTCCGTGATGTCTATGGAATCAAGGTTTCGCATGTGAAGTGGGCGACGCGACGATTCCTGACATATGGCTCTCACGACACGGCCGATTTTAGGAACATTGTGAAGGCTTTTCTGGAGAGGGCGGAGGCGGAGGCAGACCTTCCGAAGTCGACGCACAATATGCAACATGAAAGTGTGGGCGTACACCCGCAAGCGTCCCATGCATCGCCAGGCCTCAAGAGACCATCTTACGCTTGAATTGTGGCGAGTTTTCTGCTTTCAGTACACATCATCGGAACAGCTCTGAGAGTGTTACCAGTCAACAACGCGCTCGTAACTCTGCTGATCAACACAGTGGCGTCAACAATGGTTCCAGGTCCCCTGTATGAGCTCTGTGTCGGTCTCTGGTATTTCAGCGCGCTTCATGGGAAATGGCGTCCTCTGGCGCTGATACTACATCGCCGTTGGATATGGTCCACGCGTTCTGAGGAATAGGTAGGGGTCCGCAGGCATCTGAGGTTGTGACACGCCGGGTCTACCCAGACATCTTTGATGTGTTGTTTTCTTTTGCTTTCTCTCGGAAATCAACAGCGGCTCTAGATCTCAGCCCCTGCATGATATTGCGATGTTCGGGAACCGATGACAGCCATCAGAAAGGGAATCTCAATGTAGTACAACGCGTAAACTCTGGGGGCTGGCTGCCTTCGAAAAGAGACGAAAAGTATCATCGCAACTGCACACGCTCATCTCGGACGATGACGACCTGAGACACCCATCCCCGTCGTTTGCGCCAGACGACCAAATTGTGTTTTGCGGTGGTGTCAACACTTTCAAGGGCCAAACCTCGCCGCAGTCTGGCGTCCTACATAGGCCCCAGGAGGCGGCGTGACTCTTGGCACTAGGGGCCGAGATTTGCAATGTGGGTGACTTTGCGAAATGACTGTCAGCCTGACCCGCCAAAGTTACGAGCAGCCTCCTGAACCAAACTTCTACAGCTTTCTATGTTCGACGATCTGTAGCGCGCAGGCAAGGAGTGGGTGTGTAGGTTCCTGCTATCGGTGGACTGTATCATCAACCCCGCTGCTGACGTTCTACGGCGCCTTTATCTGCACATGGCCGATAACGAGATCGACCAGCAAGGCGCAAACTCGTTTAATTAAGGCTCCGTACCTGAGTTAGTGTTGTCTGAGAGAGGCGCCATCCATTTGGGTAGCGGGTGAGCTTACCAGAACCCCGACTAGGGTCTCGCTAAATTAGTTGGTTTGTGTTTCATGTTTCAGCGGCACAACCTCAACGATGCCTTGATTGGCCTGTGGTGCCTGATGCTGACTGCATCTTCGGAACCCAGCGTTACTGCTAGGAAACAGAACAGCGGGCTCGAACGCCGTACGATCGATGCAGGGAACGAAACCCGTAACGGCGGCAAAGCGGATGCAGACCCCAGGGATATCGATGTTTGCAGGAGTCAGGTGTAATGAGGATTCGGGGGATGTGCACCACTGGTCTAGGCTAAGCTTGTGAATCAAAAGCGTCGAGCCGCCGCCCTCTCGAATAGGCTTCCTCTCTTCACCTTCGACCACACACGAGGATCTCTTCTTCAAAACCCAACTTTCTGTCTCTCCTTCCAGGGCGCTCGGCTGCCTATTCCATTCCTTCATTGTCGCTAGTCGGCATATTCATTCATTCAACTGTACATTGTGTCCCAGTGACCAAACAACGTCGTCCGTGTGTTATTCTATCACAATTATCTTCCCAGATAAACAATTACTCTACTTCGTATACGATCATCAACCGAGTTACTTTCACCATGAAGACCCAATCTATGCTTCTCGCGGCTCTGGCTTCGGCCCCCTCTGCCCTTGCCCACACTGTCTTCACAGACTTTTTCATCGATGGCATGCCCCAGGTTTGTTGTCCCAATCTTTCTCGATGCAATCAGTATACTAACAGTGAGTAGGGTGATGGTGTCGCCATTCGCATGAACCCCAATGCTGCCAAGGCTAGCAGCCCCGTTCCCAGCCTCGACAGTGAGGACATGGCCTGCAATGTCGGTGGCACAAAGGGTGTTTCCCGTGTCCAGCCCGCCAAGGACGGTTCTCTCATCACGTTCGAGATCCGCTCATGGCCCAACGACCCCACCAAGGAGCGTCTTGACCGCGGTCACGTAGGTCCCTGTGCCGTGTACCTGAAGAAGGTTGCCGATGCCAGCACCGACAAGGCTGCTGGCGACGGTTGGTTCAAGATCTTTGACCACGGCTACGACTCGTCCACCGACCGCTGGTGCACAGATGAGATCATTGACAACAATGGTCTCTTGTCCATAAACCTCCCCAAGGGCCTTGAGGGTGGTGACTACCTTGCTCGCCCCGAGATCCTTGCTCTCCACGCCGCGAAGGACGGAGACCCACAATTTTACACTGGCTGCGCTCAGATCTTCGTTGAGAGCAGCGGAAACCTCGTTCCCGAGAGCACTGTTTCCATCCCTGGCTACGTCAAGTACAACGAGCCATCCACCGACTTCGACATCTACAACAAGGATGCCAAGGACTACGTTATCCCCGGCCCCAAGGTCGCCAAGCTCACAGCCGGCGGCATGAAGAAGGCTTCGACCACGCAGACTGCGGGTCTCAAGCCCGAGGGCTGCATCATGGAGAACGCCAACTGGTGCGGCAAGGAGGTCTCCTCGTACAGCACCGAGAAGGGCTGCTGGGCTTCCGCTACCGAGTGCTGGGACCAGGCCGATGTCTGCTACGACGAGGCCCCCGCAACCGGTAACGCAGGCTGCAAGCTCTGGCAAGAGAAGTGCAAGGACATCAACGCACAGTGCACGGCTATGAACTTCAACGGTCCTCCCAACAAGGGCAAGATCCTTACTCCCAAGAAGGAGAGCATCGATGTTGGCAAGATCATGGCTGTTGTTGGTGGTGGTATCGTGGATGCGCCTGCACCCAAGACCAGCTCCACCAAGCAGTACGAGGCACCTGCGAAGGCTTCCCCCAAGCCTGTAGCTGACGAGGCCACCCCTGCTGCGCCCAAGCCTACGGTGGATGAGTCCTACGAGAGCCCTCCCATTGTTGAGCAGCCCGTTGCTGCTGCTCCCAAGCCTACGCAGCAGCCTACGACGCTTTCCAAGGCACCCGTCTCCACCATCACCGTTGCTCCTTCGTCTGCGAACGCGCCTGCGCCTACCCAGCCGTCGTGCCCTGAGGGATACAAGTGTGTGTATGTCACGGATGTCGAGGTCGTCACCGAGACTGTCTACGTGACTGCTACATACGATGGGTACAAGAGGAGGCACATCATGTACCGCGCTTAGATGTACGGTACTGAGACGTGTTATGTGGAGTTAGGGGGATAAGGACAAAACGATTACTTTCTGCGACGACGATCGCGAGCTGATAAGCTCTGTTTGGGATGAGGTTTGCTTTTTTAGCTACGAATGATAAATGTTCACTTGTCGCAAACCTGTGAACCGAATGCATGCCTATTTCTCTCCTTCGATTGTCCGCATCTTGACGCTTCCGTCTTCCATGCCGAAGTAAACGGCGACAGGCTTCTGACCACCTCGTACGGTCTTGGTCAGCTGATCCTGTTCACGAAGTTCCTGTGCATCAATTCCGTTCAGACCGGAGAAGATGCCGACTTCCAATACACCAGTCAAGCCCTTGATCGCCTTGCTTATCGTGTTGACCTCCCATGTGCCATCTGTTCCATCGCCCTTGCCCTTGCCAGCTGCAACGTCCGCCGAAGTGAGCAGTGCAGGGAATGGCGCATCGATGATGTAAAAGTCCTGGTCTGTTTTCAGGGGTCCCGACTTCTCCAGTAGCGTAGTCCTTAGCTTAGGGCCCGTTGAACCAAGCATCTTAAGCGCAGCAGCGACCTTGAGCTGAGACAGCGGCGCAACCTCAATTGGTATCGTTGGCCAGTTGGTCAGCAGGCGCTCTTGTCTCTTGCGGTAGTCTGCGACACAGACGAACTTCTTCGCGCGCTCGGCGACTAGCTTCTCCTGGAACAGACAGGCACCTCCTCCTTTTATGCAGTTGAGTTCTGCGTCGACCTCGTCGGCTCCGTCGAAGGCGACATCGAGCATTACGCGATCCGGAAGACTGTCGAAGGAGATGGCGGTTAGGCCGGCGTTGACTACGAGTTGGCGCGATTGGAAGCCGGTGGGTACGAAGAGGATGTTCGGGTTCGTGGAACGCTCCTTGATAGCCTCGACGACATAGACAATGGTTGTGCCCGAACCAATTCCAACGTGGGTGGCTGCTGGGTCGAAGTGGTCTGCTACTGCTTGGTGCGCAGCAGCGCGCTTCGCGGCTTCGACAGTTGTGTCGGTCATACTGTTTGTTTGCCTGAGGGATCCTGTGGTATGGAAGGTCCGATATGTAGGATTGCGAGTGGGAATTGGTGTTGCAAAAGGAGATTTGCCGGTGGTGCAGATGTTGGCCCGGTGTACAAGGAATCTAGAATTTGGCAGTGGTCGGAGGGGCAGTCGAGACTTGAGATGACTGATGCTGCGCACTTGCTGATTTATATTGGCGGGCCAGACGTGGTTCGGCTTCAGCGGCATGAACTAGAATCAGAATCTTTCCAGTGACGCTAGAGTCGGTAAATTCGAGAGACTACAGGGAGTCACGACAAGATGGCGGGATGAATGATTTTCCCGTGACGAGAGGATTGAGCTGCCACCAAAATGACGATTTGAACCCCACCAGGACCCCGCGACAGGGATGTGCCCTTAGCGCGCGGGCTGGCAGCGCGTTTGGTGCCTGGCAGCTTGAGCTTCCCAAGCTGTCGTACCAACATCTGTCGCCCTCACCGTCAACCCTCCCAAAATCGCCATAATGGAGGATCTACCGCCCCCAGTGCAGGGCCCGACCGCAAAGGAGAAGAAGTACGTTTATCGCAAACACTTCTATCAATACTAACAAGAGCAGGTACGACCGTCAACTACGCCTCTGGGGCGCCACTGGCCAAATCGCACTCGAGAACTCGCACATCCTCCTCATAAACTCGGGACCGGGAGTCGTAGGTGTAGAGACGCTCAAAAACCTCATTCTGCCTTGCATCGGCAACTTCACGATCCAAGACTCGGCCATTGTCAGCGAAGCAGATCTAGGCGTCAACTTCTTCCTTGAGGACCAGCATCTAGGAGGCTACCGAGCTGAACACACGTGCAACCTGCTCAAGGAACTGAATCCGGACGTTGACGGCCATTTTATCACAGAGGTTGGTCAAACGAGGTCTTGGGCGTCCTCCGCTAATCGGAACAGCCTCTAGAGTCATGGCTGGCGCAACCTGACGCTCTGCGGCCGTATACCCTCATCATCGCGACCGCGCCTATCCGTCCCGAAATCCTCGCCAAGCTCTCCGACCACGCAAGCGCTGCGCTCATCCCGCTATTCTACGTCCATTCGGTCGGCTTCTACGCACACTTCTCCGTACACCTACCTCCAGCGTTCCCCATTGTGGACACACATCCCAGTCCAGAGACCACATCGGATCTACGGCTACTACGGCCATGGCCAGAGCTTGTTCAGTACGCGGAGGAGAAGACAGCCGATCTGGACAATATGAAGGCAGAAGATCACGGTCATGTCCCATGGATAGCACTGCTGCTACACTTCCTCGAGCGTTGGAAGAAGGACCATGGTGGCAAGGTACCGCAGACATACAAGGAGAAGACAGAGTTCAGGACATCAGTAGCGCAGGCTGCGCGCACAAACAACCCAGAAGGTGGCGAAGAGAACTTTGACGAAGCAGTGGCGGCAGTCCTAAAGTCCTTGAACCCACCACAAGCCAGCAGTTCCGTCAAAGAGATCTTCACGGCGCCGGAATGTCTTCTGATCCGCGAGGATTCACCAAGTTTCTGGGTCATCGCCAACGCTATCGGCTTGTTCTACACCAAGTATAACGTTCTCCCGGTGCCCGGCTCTGTACCCGATATGAAGGCGCGGTCAGCAGACTACATCCAGCTGCAGAACGTATACAAGTCGAAAGCACGAAAGGATCTGGCGGAGGTGGTGGACAGCGTGCGGTTCTTGGAGCGGAATGCTGGCCGTAATACGCCGATCGATGAAAAAGACATCGAGACTTTCTGTAAGAACGCTGCACACATCAAACTAGTGCGTGGGCGGCCGTTCCACGTTGTGCAAGCAGGCGAGAAAATCAAGTGGGGAGACCGTGCGAAGTCGATCGGTAAGGAAGCCAATCTCAACATGTACTACTTGAACTAACACCCTGTAGCTCAGCTACTCACATTCCCCGACTCGCAGATCCCGCTGTACATTGCATTCCTAGCCTGGGACGAGTTTCTCGCAACACACGATCAAGATGGTCTGGGCGGAGCACCTCGCGTTGCTGGAGAGAGCGATGTTGAAACCGACTCAGAGAAGCTCACTGGGATCGCCTTCAAGATTGCGAACGATCTTGTCAAAGAGGCAAACGCCGACATTGAGGAAGACGAATACGCGACAATCAAATCACAGATTGGAGAATACACGCGCGAGCTGTAAGTACACACCGTCCCTGAACTTTGAATGAGACAGCTTTCCTACGAAAGCCTCGTCGTGGTATTTCAGCAGTAAACAGTCGACTAACTAGACTACAGTGCACGAGCTGGTGGCGCTGAACTCCACAACATTGGCGCCCTGACTGGTGGTATCGTTTCGCAGGAGATCATTAAGGCTATCACCGAACAATATGTTCCTGTTGACAACACCTGTGTGTTCGACGGAATCAAGAGTAAAAGCACCGTTTTCAAGGTCTGAAGAGATACGGTGAAAAACTTGGGGTTGGTCAGGAATATCTTCTGGGATGACAAGAGTCAAAATTCAGCCATCTGACGGAAAGGCTGGACATAGCATTGCAGCTGAAGCGAGTTACAGCATGAGTAGATATGAGTTGGCATAGCGTAGCGTTCATACATCGCCGTTACCACGTATAGCTGGCTGGTGGGAGAGATGGAACACCCCAAACAAGTGGCAGCGGATCATGCGCACAAACAAAGAACAATAATGACTTTGTCCTTCTAGGACTGCGCAGAGTAAGAGTGAAGGTGCAGCTAGCGCATAATGAGTCTTTGCCCGGATTGAAGCAAGCACGAACAGGACTACAACCCATTGCGCCTTTTTGCTCAACTACATTCTCCAAACTGGAAACCGCACACGATTCTCGCAGATATGGCCAGGCTACGCAAGACGACTTCCAAACAACCTACTGTTGGGTCTCCCGCTGCATCCAAATCGCGGCCCACTCCGGGCGATGACAAAGCAGCAAGATCTCCAGCGCGGTCACGTGGTCGACGTGACGCGATTGAAGCCGGCGCGTCGGACCCCAGCCAAACAAATCCAACTGTCAACTCTCTGTCATCCCAAATTCTCCCTGTCTGCGAACGACCCATGGACTCTTCCTTCGATCTCCCCGACTCCACCGATTGGATAAAGACATCCCTACCCGCGTTCGAAGCGCTCGAGGTTGCCTTGCGCTGCGAAGTCTGCAAGGAGTTCTACAACAACCCCGTCATCACGCCATGTAGCCACACATTTTGTTCGATATGCATACGACGATGCATCACGGCGGACGGAAAATGCCCGAGTTGCAAAACTGGGTGCTCGAGCGACAAATTGGCGCCCAACATTGCGATCAGAGAAGTCGTGATGCGCTTTCAAGTGGCGAGACCAAAGGCCATGGAATTGGCGCGCGCAGACAAGGAAGAGGAGACTACAAAGGCCAGCAAGAAGAAGAGGAAGTTGGAAGACACAGATATGGAAGATGATGACAACGTCAGGCATACGCGATCGCGGCAGACGCGAACTAGGAGCCAGCGCAACGGAGGCAGAGCTGGGTCGCCAATGGTCGTCGCGGATAGCGAAGACGACGGCGACGACGATTTCATGCCAGACGGCATGGTCAAGTGTCCGATGTGCAGCAAGCCAATGAAGGAAGAGCTGGTCTACAACCATCTGGACATATGCACTGGGCCAGAGAATTCGCAAGGGCGTAGCACCCGGTCAAGGTACGCAGATATATGATCGCACGCCCAGGTCTGCCCGCTAACAACACTCATTTGTAGGACTAAGACCGCATTCCCACCCGCCTTCCAAATTCGAAAGAAAGACCCCTCGCCCCCACCGACGAGATTATCCCAACTCAACTACGCTATGCTCACGGAGACCAAGTTGCGGAAGAAACTGCAAGACATCGGCATACCTACTTGGGGTTCAAAAGATCTGATGAGGCGGCGGCATATCGAATGGCTCAATATCTACAATTCGAATTGCGACGCTGACGAAAGTGTGCGGAAGAGCAAGAGGCAGCTGTTGAGAGAGTTAGACGAGTGGGAGCAGACACTGGGTGGAAGAGCAGGCACCAAAGAGAACAAAATCATGAAGAAGGATTTTGACGGTGACGGGTATGCGAAGACACACAAAACCGAATTCGACGACTTAATAGCACGAGCGCGACAGAAGCGTGCCACACCCAAGACGGATAGCGAAACACCAACAGAGCGGAATACGCCCTCGGATGAGCAACATACAGAATCACAGGATCGCCAATCATTGCCAGTCAATGGTACCGAAACTCCCTCCCACGGCCCATCGTCGGCGCAAACACCCTCAGATCTACATACACATCCCTCGAACAATCTCAACCCTCACGAAATGAACGGCACAGTCGCAAGTATACACGCGAAAGTTGAGGAGGCCAACAACATACCCGACAAAGTATCTGCATCGACGCCCGAGCATTCAGTGGAAAGTGCAACACGGCGTGGGTCAGTGGCTATGGAGGGAATACAAAACTCTTTAGGAAGTCCCAGTCGCAAGATGTCTCTGCTTGCACTTCCTGAAGAGCCGGTCAGAGATGTGGAGGGAGGTACGGCTGCGTAATAATAGGTAGTTGCGATGTTTGGCAACGAAGCTTTGGCAAGTCCAGCGGTTGAAAAGGCTCTCTTCACTTCGAACCCAGTCATCACTTTCACACGTCCAATTCACTCACACGCCATGCTTCCCCTTAGCATCTTTGTATTCGTTACCGCGGCGCTCGCTATCTCGCTATTCTTACGTTCCATGTTACAACCCACCGATCTTCAAAGATAGCGATACCTCCAGCGGTGAATCATCGTGATCGAACGGTATCATTCGACAACGACTGGTATTTCAACTTATTAATTACAATGCAAACACCCAGCACAGGTTCTCCTCTGCCTGGACCACGCCTCGCTCCACAAAACCGCACAAATACCAATTCAATGGGACCACGAGAAAGACGAGCCGAGTACATGGCGGCGCGCAGAGCAACCCTAAACTTGGACCAGTACGCCTACAATGACCCCCGATATGTCAGTCCAACTCCACCTCGCGGCTCCAGAAGCACCAGACTGCCGTCATCCACGCCAGGACGAGAATCCACATCCCCAGGAGCCCCATATGCGCGCTACAGGGGAGAAGACGACTTACCCAACGATGTTGTAGAAAGGGTTCTCGACGCACCCAGAGGAAGGAGAACGCCTACACTGAGAAGAGCGCCAAACATACAATGGAATCGTTCGGGAGGACTCCGCACAGTGCCGAGTTCCACTTCAACGGGAGGCTCTGCCACAGAAGACGATGCCGGTGTTGATGGCCAGTATAGAGATGGGCAGCCAGAAAACAGCCAAGCGGCAGCGTCTCGCCCACGCTCTCACAATGTTCATGTCCGACAAAACCAGAGAGGGCTAAACGGTAAGACTACACACATGCCATACGACTGCATCTTACTGATCAGTGGTACAAACAGTTCCTCCACTGCATGAAGACGACTCGACTCGCCCACGCTCTTCAAACCCAACCCTTGTTCGCCAACTCGGAAGAGGTGAACTACATGAACTACTACTAGATGGTAAGACTGCCACCTTCACCTCACATCAATGACACTCACTAACCAGAGATACATACAGCCCAAACTCAACTCCGCTCGCGATCCCCAACCAACCCCTCGCGCCGCCTCTCATCCGACTCCTCAACCACAAACCCACTCCAAGAGTTCCAACCCCATGCTTTGAGTCCCGTAGAAGAAGAGAGCCGGAGGAAGCCAGTCCCCACCCCAGATGTTCCCGACCTAGTCAAATCGCGTAGATATCGAAATCGGCGTCATGCCACAGATTCACCACCGACACCCCCTGAACCAGGTTCGCCTCGACCTCGGCCCCGTGGCAGACATTACCTTCCCCATGAATACGATGGTGACAATGCCTCATTGCGCGAAGCAGAGGCCTTGCGTATCCAGCATGTGACGCATGAAGAAGTGCGAAGGAGCGAGAGGAATATCGGACCTCCGCCTAGTCGCGATAATAGACCAGAGGCTGGGCTTACCGAGGGCGATCCCATGCTGGACAGGCTTTGGCGAGAATGGGAAGAGGATTATGATGAGCTTGCTCGACGGGTACGGAAGAGGAATAAGGAGAAACATTCGTTGAAAGGGAAGGCGAAGAGGTGTTGGCGCAAGGTCAAGAAGTTTTTTGGGAGGCGCATAAGGGGTGAAGAGATGTGGGTGTAGGGCATGTGGTACAAATGTGTCTATCAGTTCGTTTCTAGTTGCCGACGCCGTTGTAGCGCCTGGAATATCAATGCTGATCGATCGTGCTACTCTATCCTATATCTGACAAGAAGTGATTCATCTACACATTGCATTCGCTAAAAGACATAGTAATACCATCTCCACAGAAGAGCCATGTTCCACATTGGCTTACTGATACCAACTCTGCTCATCATAAGTAAACCCTTGCATGCCCATACCATTAAATCCAGCTACACCGAACCCATTCAAACTTGGAGCCGGAGGAGCACTCGTATTTCCGTTCGTATACCCGTTGACCGCATTACCACCCACAGGTCCCCCGCTCATCTCACTGCTCATGACAGGCGCATTGGTGCTACCCTGGAATGCGCCCGCTGGGCTGGTGGTGTTTGCAAACCAATTCGCAATGTCGTCGATTCCTTGAGGGTTCCAGTTCTCAAAGTCGGTTGCGAGCTGTGTCTGGTCGCGATAGATCCAGTCTTGGCCTTCTCGTAGCAATTGATCGACGCCGCCGAAGAGTTGGCTTGGAGAGCTGCCAGCGGTGGTCTGGCCATCAACGGAACGCCGGCCTTGTGTGGACGCCGGCGTCGGTGCGTTGAGAGAGTTTGATGAATTCTGTGGTGTGCTGACCTGGTGCTGATTGCGCATGTAAGCCAGGGCGTTTGCGTCGGAAGGAGGTATGGTATGGGTGCTGGAGGGGCGCGTGGAAGGATCATTGCTTACGGAACTGGAAGTGTTGGCTGCTGCTTGGGCAAAGAACTGGGGTGTTGCCATGTTGGCCATGTTCATGCTGTATGGCTGGAGGCTTGGTGATGTCTGGCTCGCAGGCGATGGATGCTGATCTTTCATCTGTACGGATCCACGACGAATTGCCTTCGGTGTGCTGATCTCGTTCCAGGGACCATACTTGGTATCTGTGCGGGACAACACTGTGGCGGCTTCTTCGGGCAAGTCGACTTTCCAACGTTTGGCCAGGACGCTGAGGATGCCGAGCGTACGACGAGCGCAAAGCCAGCCTTCCGCTATCTCCTCGAGATGCTTGACACCATGTATTATATCGCGCTTCGCATTCTTCTCTGGTAGGTTGAGAAGGTGTATGGTGCATGCCGAGTGCGCGATGTAGACGCAGATGTTGCAGATCTGGCGCAAGCCATGCGATCGTTTGTATAGTCGGAGCAACTTGGAGATCATGGCAGCAGCTTGTGTGCATAGCTTCCTTGGCGATACACTTGCGGGCAGTGGCGAGTTGTTCGGGTTGTACTTGAGGAACGGTCGGAAAAGATGAATATACAATAACTGAAAGAACATGCTGTGATTGGGTTAGTACGATTGATGTTCTGATGCGAAGGGTGTACTTACTGCATGACCAGCATGTGCGGCAAACCGCCCTCCTTCGGCTCCAACTCCTTTGGTAAGTCCCTTCTCCAAGTCTCCAGACGCATGTGTATCTCGCTCAGCTTTTTCAGCTCCGCCTGTCTACCCTTGACCTTGTCCATATCGATCGGGTTGTAGAAGGAGTTCATGAGGTCGCTAGAGATCTCACACAGCTTGGATATCTGGAGAGCGACTGCACGCGTCCGACTTGGTTGAGAGTGTGCTTGACTGAGGCCGGAGTCGGTAACTGCGCTCCACGTTTCCGCATCCTCGCTAGGGAAGACTTCGAATTTCGGCACTGTAAGGATCGTGTTGGGCAGTTGCGGCAATCGTCCCATGTAATTACTCCAGCATTTGTCGAACAAGAAGCAGCCCCAGAATGTGATCCGCCGCGCGTCCTCTTCGTTGTCATCGATGGTGTCTTTGCTGTGCATGCCGAGGTTCAGGCCGAGGTCGCAGGCCATGCGAAAGGACATGCCACTGTAGACCCAACCCTTTGCTTCCCGCCCGCAACCAGCTTCCCGTACAGACATCAATGCTAGAGCTTGTACAGTCGTCAGAGCCGGCATCTCGTGCAAATCGTCCTCCATAATCAACCGCTTAGCTTCCTTGAAGAAGTGGTCGCCTGCCGTGGCAGAGTCGTCGCGGACTGCCCGGGCTGCCGGCCACGATGTGAAGTGACATCCCAGTGCTAGCATAGCATTGACTAGTAGCGGCGAACAGTATTGTGATTTCCTCCCGGATCCCAGCTGCGGTTTGCCTTGTTGAAATTCTTGCAGGAAGAGGTTCTTCGATAGGGTTGTGAAGAAGCTGTAATGCCAGCAAAAGTACATGCTGATCAGATGCTGCACAAGCTCCGGGTCCGAGGTGACAGTCGTCCACGAGCAGAACGGGTCCTGCGCTTCCTGGTACTGGTCCTCAGAATATGTGTCCGGCGACTCCGCAGAGTCGTTGCCTTGGCCCAGATATATGAGATGCGATGTGCCCCCAATGTATCTGGTCGATCCATCTTCAAGGCGCAGCTCGCCCATCTTCCCGCTCAGCTGACTCTCGAATGTGCCCTTGGCCGGCGCCATGGTAGGCGTTGTGATCGGACTGATGGGCTCATCCTCGTCGTCTTCGCCATTCTCCTTCGCTATGATAGCCTCTGCGACTGAGTCCAAGCTCTCGCATGTCCGGATCTGGTGTACGAGGTCGGCGACTTCCTCTTCCGGATAGTTCAGGATAGCCTGGATAAGCGTCTGGAGGGTGGAATTACGCGTCTTGAGGTTGTCGATGTCCTTCTTGTAGACGCCTTTGCGGCGGTGGTCCGAGTTGGGGTCGTAGATGCACGGCGTGTTGTAGACGGCGGCACATGCAGAGCAGGCGGGAGTGGTACCGTCGCACTATGCGGCAGATTAGCGACTACTCTCGTACAGCGCGCGTGGTTCCGAGGGGGTTGGTGATCATCCGGAGAACGTGTGTATACGCCGGAGAAAGGGCATCAGGGCCAGTTCCCGTTACCTAACATACCTTGGACTTGCGCTTCCTGCATGGCACGCAGGCGGACGAGATGCAGCGGCGCTTCTTAGAGTCCTCGCTTCCGGCATCCCTCTTGCTGCGGCGTCCCTTCTTGTTGGGCGTGTCAGAAGTCGGGTGCGCTTCCGCAGTGGTGTTGTTCTCCATTACAGGTCTTGTCGGTTTACCGGAGAAGCAAATTGTGGGGGAATGGCGGGGCGCGCTTTGACGGGCCTCTTCTCACGCGACATTAATCAGCTTGCAGTGGATATGGCAGTCTGTCGTGGTCCGGGGCTCTATCTCGCGGGCTCAACATGGCTGGCCAAGGACAGGGAAGCGGGCGCAATCAAGTCGGAATCGGCGTCGCATTGGGCTGGTGATGAGTGCCTACGCGACCGAGCTGCGTCGCTGAGGTACCTCGCTATCAGCAGCCCCCTGATTGGCTGGCTCTTCGGCCCTT